GCTTTCGATTCGGCAAGCAAGAAGTAAAACTGTCGATAAGTTGGGCTGGGCTGGACTTTTTATATTCTCCACCATTAAATACCCTAAAAGTGAAGAAATTTTCGTCATTTTTACATGAGAATGCAAAATACCACATCAGGTCCAATTCTGCTGAAAAAATTATCTTAACTTCCCGAAAATCGGGATCAATATCGATAATTTTTGGCAAGAAGATTTTCTACTCAATGAGATTCCAAATACTAAATTACGGCCACTTAAAAATTGTGACCATATTCCAGAATGTACTGAAATTCGGAAAGTACCGAATGTGTGGGTATCCAAAAATATTAACCAATTCTTATAATTTTTCGAAGGAAAAATTTTATACCCAATGAGAAGTCAAATAGTAAAATTTAGTCAATTCGGTTAAAAAAAGTGACAGAAATTCCGAATTTTGACTGTACTGTTATATGGGGGGCTATAACAAAACGTGGACCCATATATCCCATTTTTAATATGAAATATGTTGCAAACGGAATGACAAATTGTATATACACTTCATCTTATGGTGGATAATATAAGCAAATAGTTGAAGTTTTCGAATGCCGAATTTTTACTCATCTTCCTAAAAAATAGTGCAATACTTGGAAGCTCCAGTACACTATGAGAGATGGTATTAAATGATTTTTATCAAAAGTTAACATTGTGTGTTTTATAAGTCTTTTGGCAAAAAAAACCTAGGTAGGTATAAGTCCTTGTATTTGAAAAAAAACCATATAAAGGTCCTATCCGATTTTCAGTATATTGAAGTCCTTAGCCGAAATTTTCAAATATTTTCCCCTCGATTTCCTTAAATATTTTCGAATTTCGCTTTCTTAGAGGAGAAAAAACATCCTGGTAGCAAATTTACATGAATCTAGCCCCCATATAAGGTATTTTGGATGTGAAGCTTAAATGTTGTAAACCAATGTATAAAAATAATTGAAATTTCAAAAATCTCCCCAGAGGATAAAAACCCCACTCGAGACACTTTAAGTGGCATTGTCCCTTCCCTATATAAAGATTCCGACTGGTATAAGGTATTTTGTATATCTATATCATGCTGTAGGGGCTTGTTAATGTTTCCCCTTTCTAGACCCATTTTAAAGGATAATGACAATATTAACATTAATTCGTGTGTTTGTGTGTGTGTTTAATGATTTGCCCTGAAAATAATACACAAGAAATGACGAAATAAAACCTGATACCATTTTTTTGTTTCTTCAACAAACTGTCTCTTTTTGCATTAAAAATTAACAAACACACACATTACGGCATACTTACAATTTTCTATATTCTATCTCCTACTCCATATATGTTTGTATGTACATATGTATAATTGTCATTATATGCATAGTAATTTGAACATATAAATATGCAAATTAGTGAGAAAAAAAAGAAATAGAAACACTGTCGTCATGTTCCGCATGAGCAATGGTGATAGTGAAGCGGTGTACAAAAATTCTGAGTCAGCGGGCCAAGGGCTGGTGGATTTACATCACTATATAAAGGAATAAAACAAATGCACACAACTTATATGTATATATATATGCATATATTGCTTGTTTGTATATAATTTCTCAGTCAATTGTTAATTACAAATCTTTGCATTTTTTTTTTGCAAAATTTGCTGAACCATGGACTGTTGATTTTTGCTGCATGCCAACCACCCCTACCCGCCAGCCAGCTACTGTGACTTGTAAATATCTAAATCTAAAAGAGGATTAAAATAATAAATACTATAAAAATATTTATAATGTTTAGTTATTATTTCTGTTGTTTTTGTAGATTTATTTCCTCTACTCACGATGATGATGAATTCGAATAATAAAAGTGTGTTTGTTTTCTACAGCTCCCTTGTTTGTTTGCATATCTTATTACTTCATAGCTTCGCTTTTTTATTATATTTTTGTCTCGCTTGATTTGTGAACGTCGTCTGCCTGCCTTAACGGGATATTATTTGAGATCACTGACATTCCCTCTTTGTCTGTAAAAGTAGGTGAAAGTGACTAACATTTTATTGACAGTGCTGTGATAATGACGACTGGCCATGAACTGATAACTAAAATGAGAGTGAGAGTGGCGGATTGAAGGGGTTGAATTAGTCAAGGGAGTGATGTAAAAATCAATGGCAAAATAATTATCAAAAAATTACTTCCCTCTATACTTACTTTCATTCTAAAACAAAATTTCAATTATTATCAAAAGTATGGTCGTTGAACAAAGTGATTTTGTAAAAAAAGGCTAGAGAAATTTTTATTTTCTTCCTCATATTGTTGGTGATACCGAATTTGTAAAATGTAGACTCTTGCCGGAAATTTCTAAGTATTCTGGTAAGTACCCGGACTATTTTGAAGAAACTGGTGAGGATCTGAAGGGAGATCTGAAACTATCACGTTTTTCCATTCTTACACGTACCATTAAGCCTCCTCGAAATATTCGTCTGGACCCGATGCATTATATATTCATCATCAAAATAAAATCCTATGTCGATTTAGTCAAGCCAAAAATCAATACAGGTCCATATTTTGTCATAGCCCCCATTTAAAGGCCCTGCCCTCTTTTGGGAAATTTTGATTGGTATTAGACTCGTTTTTCAACCGAACTGGATGTTGTTTGACATTTCTAATTTTTAGTGGGTAAAAACATGTTCGCAGTTTTTTTAATATAGATTGATGATTTGATAGATCCTCCACATAAATGTCCTGTCACCTATTTTAGATGTTTTGATGGTCTTAAACCATTTACTACTCATATGATATTTGGTATTGCAGTTCGGATATATCTGTCTGCAATAGCCACCATATAAAGGGGATATAGCAGTTTCGGTATGTTGAAGGTTTAGACGCATTTTGTCACAAACATTTAAGGGTCTTGAATTCTAAAACATCCTTGCAGAAAAAGTTTAATCTAGGTCCTTGTTTTGACATAGTCTGCATATAAAGTTGCCTCGTCCCGTTTTTTTGGCATTATGAAGAGTTTTGAGTCATTTTGTCACCGAAGTGGTAATAATATGTCGCTCCGGCCTCTCCGAGGATCAACATTCACATAGGCCATCGCTTAATTTTCGGTTTGGAAGTTTCTGGTTCTCCAGCCTTCAATTTGGTGAATAGATCGTTCCGGTCGAACAAAACACAATTTTTACTTGTTGATAGTTCAATACTCTTCTTACCCCACTTACCTATATTGAAAAGAATATATTACATGCACAACCTGTTATCAGCATCATTTTTAATATTACATAATTTTCATATCAGAAGAAAAAACAATAAATTGTCTACGACCGTCGATTTTTTGCTTCAGTTTACTTTTTACGCCTGACATTCATCCAAGCGTTTTATCATTTGATTGATTCTTTATGACAGTCATGTTACTCAATTAATTCACAATTCTCAATTTTTTCAATTCGAATTCATTAATAAATGGAATGGAAAGCGGTGCAAAAAGAAAGACAGAATCAACCAACCAACCGAACGACCGAATTGAATAGCATCCATCCGTCCATCAGCGCGTTGGCAACAAAGTCTCGCCGTTAACTCGAAAAATTGAAATGCGTGTGCGCTTTTCAATTGAGTCAAGTCAAGACCAGTAGTCCAGTTTCAGCAGCTGGACAAACCCATAGGCCGACTCTGCCCTGCTGCTATTCAATTAATTCATTCATCGAACTTTTTCTGCTGTTGACAAGAAATGAATTTGAATTTAATTGCGAGCGGGGTATTTGGTTGGAATAATAAAAAAAATTATTTGAAAAAAAAAGGCTTGACAACAAATGGGAAAAATCATCACAACAAATCGATTTGAAAATTCAATGTGTTTGGAAAAATATTTTGTAATGTTATTAGAAATTAATTAACAGAAAATAGAAAAAAATAAAAAAATGTATATATTTTAATAACCAAATCTTTTTGCTATTTTTGTACAGGCAGGTTATATATATATATATATTTTTAATATTTATTTTTATAGCTTTCTTATCATCAATATTTGAGACGCGTGTATAACACTCACCTGCTATTGTTGCAGGTTATCAAGCTGGCCATAATGAATTGGGATTTGCACACAAAAGCCGGAATGCTTTCAAATTAAACGCTCATTGCAAATCGTATCGTATTGGAGGTCTTTCACTCAATCGCAATGAGGATGAATAATTCAGAACACAAATATTACAAATGGAGTTTATTGTTATTTACAATATTTATATTTGCAAGTCGGTATTCCATAGCTCACTTCGTTCTTTCTTTGTCTTTATGAAATGTTAACCCTTTTGAGCGATATCCAATATAAATACTCATACACCTGAATCAACAGACGATCAATGCTCTTGAAAATTGTAATTGAAAAAAATGTTTTATCCGGTACAAAAATTTTCTATATTTTCTCTACAATAAGTGGCGAATTATTGAGACTCAATTTAAATGCAACTGCCACAAGCATACCATGAAAATCATTTAAAATTGATCAAAAACGCACATTTGAAGAAAATTGAGTTGAATTTGACCATTGAATTAAATCAAAATTCAATGGAAATACAATTATGACACTAAGCAATATCAACCGGATCGAATATTTTGTACCATACGCAATCTGGTGTACAAAAAAGGTTGATGTGTAGGCCCTGAGAAAAAAATGAATACCAAATTTTAAATACTCAATATATCTAACATTGATCCTTATATGAGACCTACGTAATAATATGACCATACACAGCTAACATTCTGCCCAGATGTTGTATCATACTCACATACAGTTTGTCGGGTTTGAAAAATCAACTAAGATCTTAAATATAGGGAGATTAGGTGTACAGCTTTATATGATGGTTATGTGAAGGTCAACCGAACTGGTTTCCAAAATGTACATGCTTCTATTTTGAAAACCGCAGTATATATGGTTACACCTTCGGGCAGGTTCCTCAATATTATACCCTTGATAACATCTTATATTTTTCCTTCATTACAGATACCCTCCCCATATAAAGCCCAAAAATGATGAACGAACACAAAGAAGAAAATGGCGGAGAGTTTGAGGCTTTACGCAAAAGTCGAACACCCAGAGTGGTCAGCGGCATGAACAGACCCTACAAACCGAAACCATTGGGCGAACAAACACGTGCCCTGAGACGTCAGGCAATTATGGTTATTTTGGGTAATTTGGGTGTAATTTCAACAGGTCTGTCATTGGGTTTACCCACCATTACAAATGGACCCATGAAAGATACCAGTGCTCCGGCATATTTAAATGACTCGGAATTTTCATGGTTTGGTAAGTTATAAGGATAAACCAATTTTTTGCAAAACAAAAAAATAATTTTATCCTTTTTTCCATTTCAGCATCGGTAAATTTATTTTTTGGTCCTGTGGGAGGACTTCTCTCCGGTCTGCTGTTGGATAAATTGGGACGTAAACGTACCATGTATGTGCTGAATGTTATTGGTTTGACATCATGGGTTCTGATGGCCACGGCTAGCCAAGAAAATCAATATGCCATGTTTATGCAACTGATTGTGTCGCGATGTGTTCAAGGTAAAAATTATTCTCCAATAATTTCTAGAACGGTATTACTCATAAAAAAAACTGCTGTATTACTAGGTATTGGCATGGGTCTGTCAAGTGCCCCCGTCGGGGTTTACTCAGCTGAAATCAGTACTCCCAAAATAAGAGGACGCCTAATTTTGGGTACCTCCATCTCAGTGGCTGGTGGTATTACCATAATTTACATATTGGGTTACTTTATACGCGATGATTGGCGTTTGATTGCCATGATCTGCTGTGCCTTCCAATTGATTGCGTTGTTGTGTGTCATACCCTTGCCGGAGTCCGCGAATTGGTTGTTGACGAAATCCCGCCTGGCCGAAGCTCGGCAATCTTTGAATTATTTCCGTGGCTTGGAAAAGAAACGTAAGTTAAAAAAAAAACAAAAAATAAATATTTATCCGATAGTAATGAAATATTTTCTTTACAGCTGTCATTACCCATCCTGAGGTATTAGCGGAATTCAATTTACTACAAAAGAACATACAATTGGCTGAGGGTGAGAAGAAGCCTTCGTTTTTCAAATCCCTAAAATTACCCGAAGTCTATAAGCCTTTGCTGATCCTCATGGGCCTGTTTACCTTCCAACAAATCACCGGTATTTTTGTTGTCATCGTTTATGCCGTACAAATCGCCATGGAAGCTGGTGTTACCATTGACCCCTTTATGTGTGCCATTATGATTGGTGTGGCTCGAGTTGTCACAACCTGTCCCATGGGTTATATACTCGAGAAATGGGGACGTCGTAGTTCTGGTTTAATATCTGCCTTGGGTATGGGTCTCTGCATGGCTCTGTTGTCGCTTCACAAACACCTCACCGTAATACCATATCTACCGGTCATAGCCATTGTGGCATTCATTGTCTTGAGTACTTTGGGTCTGTACACCCTGCCCTTCTTTATGATATCTGAAGTGTTTCCCCAAAAGGTTAGAGGAGCTGCATCGGGTCTAACCGTGGCCTATGGTACTTTCATTTCATTTGTGGTCACCAAAACCTATCCCTCCATGAAGGCTGCCATTGGCAATGAATACTGCTTTGTCACCTATGCTGTTCTCTCCTTTGTCGGGGCCGTCTTCATTTATACTTTCTTACCGGAAACCCGTGGCCGTACTCTCTTGGAAATTGAGGAGGAATTCCGTAGTGGTAAAAAGAAACCTGCAGAACCAGTGGAAATGGAAGAAATCTATGTGAAGTAGAAGAATACCAAAACAAACCAAAATATTCTGCAACCGTAGATCGGGCATTGCAACAAAATTGATATTTATTGGACCTCATATACTCGCTGTGTGATATGAGGAGATTTTTTTTATATTCATACCTGCAATAATCTACTCGTATGTAATAATAGTTTGTATGTATTTTTGTACTCATACTTAAATAGTTAATTCTAAGACAACTGTGATAAGACTGGTTTCAAATGCTAGAAAATAATTATTTTGTGTTTTTTAATAGAAACAAAAATCTTTAATTATTTTTTAATATAATGATTGATATTTGCTTGTATATAAAAATTTAATTGAAATAAATTATAAAACAAAACAAAAAATAATAATTAAAAGTCTTACTTTTTATTTAATTTGCGGAAAAATTCCATTAAAATAAATAATTGAAGGAACGTAAATTGATTGACTTAACGATTCATCGACGACCAGGCGCAACGGTTGAAGCTAGAATCTTGAACAAGTACTAAATTTGGTACAATGTGAATTTGAAGGAAAGGATGGCGCTGGAATCCAAAAATGAAATTAAAATTGCCTTCAGAGTGTAGGTTTGGGATATGTAGGTAGTTTTGGAAATGTGTACTTATGAATTCGAAAAGTACTAAATGGTACTATTTTTGGTACAATTTGGATTTGGATGAACCGATAGAGCTGGAACATTAAAATTTGGAAATAAGATTACTGTTGGAGTGTAGGATTGGGAAGTGTAGGAAGTTTTGGAAATTACTAATATGTACTAAATTGTACTAAATTTGGTACAAGTTGGATTTGGCTGGAATCCTGAAATTTGAAAATATGAATTTTCTATTGAGGAAAGTAGTTATGAAAATTTATACAAATATATACCAAATGGTACTAAATTTGGATTTGGCGTGACCTATAGAACTCGAATCATGGACGCTGGAATAAGTTTGGGAAATAAGTATTACAAGAATACAAATGGTAATAAATGGTACCAAATGTAGGATACAGCTGTTGCAGCCAGAATTGGTATGTAGTGCTGATATATGGAGATAGTTCTGGAAAGACGTACTATAAGAGAACAAAGGTACTAATGGTACTATTTTTTATTCGTCGGAGAACCTACATCTCTTCCACTTTATTTATTGAGTATTTTGAAGGTCCTAACCGAATTACCTGCAATTGTGTAATTTCGCGTTCTCATTTTTGGCATTTTTAAAACCATGGCCGTATTTTCCCACCGATGTAGATGTAAATGTCATTAGAGAAAGAGACAGAGAAAGACTATCTAGAAAAAAATATATCTGTCCATAGGAATGTCCTACCCCATATCAGGTATTTTAAAAGTTCTAAATGACTGTAATTTGGCATTTTATAATTTTCAGAAATTGTTTAATATAGGTCATTGATTCGACATTACCCCCATAGAACAGATTTTACTTATTTTGTAAATGTTTTAAAGACGATTTTAGACTTGATTGTCATTTAGTCCATAAAATGTTTTCCATTCGATGTTCCTGTAGTTTGGACTTTTGTGGAAAATAAATGTAAATTTTACCTTTTATTTATTCATAAATAAAGATAGAAGCAATCCACTTCATGACAGTATTTTTCCAATCCTCTTTTGGAACTCGATTTTAGGTTTAATTAACAGTTCCTGTTGAGGATATTCTTATGATTTCCTTTCATGGCGTCTTAAGTTTTGGAAATAAGAAATAGTCAGCGGGACCAATTCTGTTGAATACGGTGGTTGAGACATGAGATTTTGTATTTACACAAAAACTCACTCACAAGCATCTGTGTATGAACTGGGGCGTTATTATGGTGAAAAATCACAATTCACAGCGTTTATGGATAAATACTATAAGCAAGCGGCGTATAACTTCAAGGTGGTATTCTTTGTGGAAAAAAAATAATTATACACCACGTCATTGCAGTGAAATAAAACTGTGATCAAAACTTTTACGTGTTTTTGTCGTCTTCTTGACCTTAGACCAATGTGGCGCCCAACATGCCAACCTTTTTTTACAACTTTAGACGTTCCTGGGATATGGGTCGTCGAAATAGGCAAGTGGTATATGGTAACGTATATTAGTTCAAAATACTAATTATCAATATTAAAAAAAAACACAATTAAAGTATCCCATGATAATTTTTTCTAATAAACATACCAATCTTTTATACAGATCAAATTTCAGAATTTTAAAAGCTTAAGAATTAATTTTGATGCATTTTTTCTTTTTCAATTCCAGCTTATTGATCGAAGTTTTGTAATGAAATGGAAAGTCAGGAGAATAATCTATGCAGCCACCATTATCCGACGCGTTTCGCCTTTGGTTAAGCGGTTCGTTAGGGATATTAGGCTAAGTGGAAATACAAGTTGTATTTATATCGCAGCTAATGTGAAGTTGCATCAGGTAATTAAATTCAAATATATCACAGTTTGTTTTCATTCTAGAAATAGTGATTTTCAAAGTAGACAAAATCCATATAAAAGTTAATGAATTTATATCATTTTTTTTTAATATATTGACCTGTAGCTTTTCGCACATTTCGGTGCCCGATGTTAAAGAAGAGTGATTTAATTTAATAGCTGACATATTATTTCCATTTCAAATGATTATGATTTTTTGTTCTTTCCAACTCATATAATTAAATTGTACATTTCATGTAACTTATAAATAAACACAGTGTAATTATTAACTGTATTTTAATTATATACAATTATTTTATTAATTATTTATTAAATTAAATTAACATACATTGTGGAAAGAGTGGAAATTTTAATAATTATTTAAAAACTAAAACATCTGGTCGATATCTAGAGATGTCGATGGGGATCTATGAAGTCTCGAAAATTCAATATAAATAATACCAGAGATTGTTATAAGAATTTTTGATTTTATTGTAATCAGTTCAATGTTCAGGAAATCCCAGCCTCGCTAGTCATCTCTAAGGTATAGCCAACAATAAAAATGAAATATTTTAATAAATTGTTGTTGTTTTTTGAATACAACAAGGTGTCTAATAACAAATAAGCCACTTGCATTTAGCAAAACACAATCTTATCTTGTCGTGCGCCATAATAATCGTGGACATTCAACCGGCTAGCCATCCGTACACGTTTGGTGATAGATTACAGCGGACTAAACAAAATATGGCACCTTCAGCTATGATTATGTGTTTGGAAATTTACAGGCAATTAAATAAATATAGGCAGGGATGATACTGGATTACACGGAGGGAATATAGGCTCCATGGGACAAACCTTTTATATTTCCCTTTAAATTATTATATTATTGATTCATATTAATAAAAAATGAAAACAAATACTGATAGCAAATTTTCATATATGGTAACATTCCATTAACTGCTGAATTTATGTCCCTAATCCACCATAAATACCATAACTACATTGTTAATATTTGCCCATCGAATTTCGGTATACATCATTAAGTTTAGTTAGTCTAGACTACATTCATATACAATGGCTATGCATTTTGTTAGCCACTAAGTTTTTTTATAACGAAAAAAAATTAGCAACACTATCAAATTACAATTTCAGCTTACTTCATTACTTGATTAGCTAAATTTTTGCCAGTGACAAACACCGTTCAATTTAAAACAAAAAAAACCTCTTCCACAGCCGAAGGTCATGACATTTTATGTTGGACAACTTCATCATCATCAGTTGTGTTGTTTTACAGGAGGTCGTCCGAGCGACCTATTGATGTGCCAATATTTTTTTCCGTGAACACACATTCCTTTGCGAGTATCACTTCTATTTGCCAGTGACAGTATAAGCAACAACAACAGCACCAGAAAACATTCAATTAAAATGATTATGCAAATATTACGCCCATATTTTTCCAACAGTCGTCTAAATCGATATTAATTACAAATCAATTAGAACGGTTGTGACAAAACAACGGTACCGATATGGAGCAGGAACTACCACAACAACAACAAACGATAGATGAACACTTCGTGTTCGATTATATTAACAAGAACAACAACAAAAACAATAAAGATGAATAAAACTATTGGACTCGAGTTGTGAATTAAATGAAAGATGTCTTTGTGTGCCATAACGGTCATCAGATACCGAACAGATGATATTTGCGAGAAAAACAAATGTATAATAGGTCGTCAAGGACTCTTCAATGACACTGCAGATTTTTTTATTTCCTGTTTGATAAGAAATGTTAAATAATTTCTAGAAATTTATTAATTTATCAATCGACAGAGAGGTCTTCACTGTAACTTCGTAATGAAGCGGAGCCCCCACATAACAGTACCGGTATTTTTGGGATTTTTGGCATGTTTTTTTTTTTAACGAATTGCCTGTAATTTGGTAATTTGAGTTACCATAGGTTAGCAAATCTACCTGCCAAAAATGATCGATATCGGTCGACTTTTTAGCATAGCTCATATAATGTATCCACATTATTCGGTATTATAGTCACCCTTTTTACCAAATTGGCTTTAATTAGGTTCTTATTGGGTGTTCAATCTTCCCACCAACTATTTACCATGGCATAGTCCGCCACAGAAAAACATTTTTAATAAATATTTTCATAATTTCATTCATAGTTAATTTTTTTCCATATTATACATGTACCTCGCTTTGAATACAAATCTAAATTATTATAATCATGAGAAAGCCAAATGTAAGCATTTCATTATTATCACAACAATTTTCTTACTTCGCTCTATATAACCACAATTTGCGCTAATTTTCCCTCTCTCTTTTTAGCGACAAGAAAAAGTATACGTCACAAGGAGGTCTCCGCTTCTCCTCTTACTTGGTGGATGTTGTTATATTTTCATAACCTTTACAACTCTCAAACTATTTGGGATCTTTGTGGAATAAAACAATGACATAGCTAACATGTGACATAGCCCTAACATAAAGGCCTCGGTCGTTGTTAGGTATTTTAAACACTGCCTTTATGGTGGAGGGTTATTCTACATATTCTATTTAGGATAGTTGCACAGAACATAGTTCTGTAGTTAAGGAAGAAATTTGGGTGCAGGGGGTTGAATAAATTCTACTATATTTAACATACCTAAAAAATGTCAAACAGAAGACCTACAGTAGTCAAGTCTTCTAAAGAAGACCTGTAAAATACATGTTTAGGTATAACGTAGAATCTTCGATAGAAACTATTTATTTTACAAATCTTTCAAGCAGTGAAAGTTCCCAAGAAAAAGAGAGTCAACAGTCATTAAATATTAAACTATTAACCTTTTTTGTTATAATTAATATAAAATACGACCTAATGTACCAAAAGAACATGCACACATTTGTTTACCTAGCACGTTCACATGTAAACATCTATTACACTTTTTAAACAAACACAAACAATAGCGAAAAAGAGGCATGAGAACGAGTAAAAACAACACGACACCACCAATAACATTTCATTCGGATCCTCTTTACATTTTGAACTGAGAACCATTTGTCTTTACAGCAATATGTCTGTCTGACATTTATTATCACTGTCATCATCATCAACGGCGGCAATTACATTGGTAACAATGTTGACGAATTTATTAACGATGACGTATGACAACAACCGAACAACTTCGGTAGACATTGTTGGTGTTGTTGCTGTTGTTAAATAACACTTGACAAACGATTGATGATTGTGTTGACGATTATCAGGCAGCGATTCTATTGGCAACAAATCAAAGCCGAAGTATCAGTAACAACAACAATAAGCAATGCATTCTGTTACAACAGTAATCGGGCAACAACAATAACAACATATGATTACAGTTCATTATTAATTGTTTACATTTTGTTTTATTTATTCTTTATTATTGGCACTGTAAGAGCCATAACACCTTTTACTCTTCTCTATCAGCAAAGAAAGTGTGAGAGAGAGAGCATTGCCAAAATGTTGTGTGCGTGTGTGGCGAATTATTCTTCAGGTGTTTGTGGTTCAAATGAGAGATGAGTACATTTACTCAACCCAACGAGAACATTGATCTCTGTTATTGCGAATGTTATATTTTGTTTGTTTTTGCTGTAAAATGCTAGAGAGTGGGTGGGAGTTAGGTTGTGTTTCTCAAACAGAAGAGTAAACGAAAAAAGCAAGATAAATTTCGTGTAATATTTTCGGTTCCTGCTTATAGTTTATTTATTCATAGTCATTTGCATGTAAATGCATTGCGTGTGTCTGTCTGTCGATCTATTTGTTTGTCAACGACGAATAGGAAGGTTTGTTGTAATTTTTGCTGTCGTCGTTGTTGTTAAGAAAACGTCGCAAGAACTTTGTAAAATGAAAAGAAAATAAATAAATAAATGCCGTGAGATAATATTATTTCCTTATAATTTACAATGTAACACAAAAGTGCAACACCTATTACAAAAAGGGTTTCTAGAGGATCCTAATAGAACAAATATTCGGCCTAGGCCTATTTATGTAATATTTAAATTTTAACCATGCCTCCATTGAAATTGGATATATCGGCATGAACATGGTAGTTATCGGTTCTCGATCTGTTAGACACTCAATATAAATGTACCGGCCATTTTTCAGAATTTTTAAGGTAATAGCCACATTTATTGAAGCTTGAAAGACATCTAGGCAGAAATTGTTAATTTTATGTCCATTTTGTTACATAGGCTTCATCGAAATGTTCCGAACATGATGATCCTAGCTACGTTTACCAACCGAAGGAGCTTTTATTTGGCATTCCGAGCTACTGAAGGCTTCTACTTAGAAAATTTGCAGTAGAGGTTCATATTTTGACGTAGTTTCTATTTATATAATTTTAGCTACTAGGAGATTTTCCAACCAAAGCAATTTAATTCCTTAATGTGTAATTGTGGAGTCTTTGATGAAAAAATGGAGTCCTTAAAATTGTTCAGAATTGCTTCATGTGTTGGTTATATGGAGGATATAACTGTAACGTCCCAGCATGGGTATTTTGAAGGTTTTAGCCCATTATCAAACCGAAGATGCTGTAATTGGGCATTCCTGGTTCGTGAAGAGTAAAATACATCCACGCAAAATATTTGAAATAGAGCTTCATGTTTTGATTTATCCTCCAGATAAAGGTTCCGCCACATTTTAATAAAAGTTGACGTCCAACGGCAATTTTACAACTAAAATGCCAGACAATTTGCATTCCACTCGTTAGTAATTTTTAATAGAGGTCAGTGTTTTGTCATAATCACCCTATAAAGATCTCATTCTCTTTCGGTATGTTGTCCCGATCGACCTGAAAAAGAAGGACTAGGCTAAAACTGAGCCGAAACTCAGTTGAACTTAACGAGTTTTCTTTTTTTTTTTTTAAAGATACATGAGCTTCTACATACTTATCTTCTATAGAGAGTAGGCTCCCAGGACTTCTATAGATATATGGATATTTTACAAATAAAAGACCACCTCGAGATTATCGTAGAGGATTTGACCTATTTTAAGATAGAAGACCTTCTAATATGTTTCATAGAGATAGAAGAAATTTTTTATATATTGAAGATTATATAAATATAAGACATCGTATTGCTCTTATTTTGCTCTTTACTTTGAAGAAATAAATAGAAGACACCCGATATATCCCTTGAACTATTGACTTCTTCTGTTGGTAGAAGATCTTCTCCTTACATAGTCTTTCAAGAAGATAGAACTTCTCCCAGCAATCTTAGATGAAATGTTTCTCCTTTAGATGAAAGGCCTCTTACATAGTATATTTCTTCTGTTTTCAGAAGGTCGCCTTTGGGATATATGTCCTCCTAAAGGTCTTCTGTACACATATATGATAGTAGTGTCCGCTATTTATAAAATATTACCAATAGGGGTTCTATATAGTTAACAAATTTATTATAGGTCTTCTACAAATTGAAGACCTTTAAAAATACTCCTATAGTTAGATTTCCAACAGGCATTTCTTCTGTAAGTAAAATGCCTCTCAGACGTCTCGGGTAGTCTTCTGTAGGTATAATACCTCCTGCATGCCACCTACACACATAATAAAGGTGGAAGTAATATTTTTTTAATTTTGTATATCTATATAAAAAATAAATAAAATATTTAAATTATTTTTGCCTCCCACTGTTCGCAAAAAACGTGTAGCAGTGCCGTTCAAAATAAAATACTCTCGTTTTGTTTGTTTGGTTGTCAGTTTTGCGTTTCGTTTTTTTTTTGCTGTTCTTTGCCATGCCATTCAAGCGTCGAACTTTGCTATAAAACTAACATTTCAAAGGTTTATGTTTGTACGCCCGTCAGTTCGTCCCGCTGTACGTCAGAGCGCTGCTGTCGATGATTGCTGCCTTAGAGCCATAACAGAGCCGGAGCAGAAAGCAGAAAACAACAACAGTAGCAACAAACAGTATTGAGAATACAGTGTCAAGTTCAGTGTTGTTTAGATGGATGGATGGCCAGTTCGATGGTTGGGTTGGTTGGTGGGGTCGCTCGCTCGCTTGCTCCACTCGTTCGGTCGTTCGGTCAATATGAATAATGTAAACTGTTATCATTTGCAATTAATTTGAGACGCGGCAAACAGTAGCCAGCTAGTAGTCCGTGGTAGTAAAAGAAGGTGGCTAGACGTGGTTGTCGGGTAACAAGCCAGGCCAACAAACAACCATCCGAAGAAGAAGAAAAAAAGTACTACAACAACAAAAGAGGACAAAAACGAAAAAAATGAATTGAAATAAATTTAAAAATACAAAGTGACGACGATGTTGATTATTTATTTCTTGAAGAGTAGAATTTTATTTTTCAATTGGCGCTGATTTCCTAACGACACCCAACCAATTGAAACCCACACCAGACCGAACGTCACAAATTTTGCAAATGCAACAAATATCGAATCGAAATGTCGAATGCTGTCTGCTAGGCTAGTGGTTTGGCGGGTCGGTCGGTCGGTTGTCAGTCGTTCTGCCCATCATCGATACATGTGATTTGTTACCAGTTTTTCCATCCAAGTCTAGATTTTGCCCGGCTGTCTGTGGTCTAAATTGCCGTCTACTCTTAATGGGCAGGCAAGGCAGCACAGTGCTCTCCATTGACAAGTAAATGACGGAGCTGTGTTCCACATTCGACCATTATGGCTATACAGAGAGCCAAGAATTGAGGCTAACAATCGAATGCAGTGTGAATTGTGCAACAGTCCCACGGGAAGAGTCAACAAAGACGGTTCACTGAAAACGGACGCGGTTGGACGCGGTCAGTTAGCACAAAGGACTCGAACGTTATACGCTCGCTATCTGCTAGACGAACAACGCTCAAGGATATAACGCACAAACACGGTTGGTTTTAAATTTTAGTCTGACATCCTGCTGCCAGACACATTCGGTAATTGGTGATTTCCAATACGGCCAGGCCAGACAAATATTCGTAAAGTGAAGAATTATGCAATTTATTGTTTAACGAAAGAATACAAACACAACAACAAAAAAGTAATAAAACAAATAGGAAACGGAGAAAAAAATACCGCAATAATAACAAAAAACCCAACAATTAATTTAAATAAAAATTGAAACGTGCCTTATTGAGTTCGGTATTAGAACAGCTTTTCTGTTTATTTAAATGAAATTTGAAACAAAACAAAAAAAAATAATTAAAAAATATTAAGAAGATATTTGTACAACAACAACAACAAAATAAAACAAAGTGTACCTCACAGTATTGAAAAAAGAAATCTGATATTCCAGTAACAACAGTGTCGGTTCCACACAGTGCCTTATAGATTATGTCCTCTGATCAGTGGGAAACCATTAAATTGGAACAAAATGGCAAAAAACAAACCTCCGGCAAGATATGCTCAGGTCTGGACAGGCCTTCGAAAAAGGAAAAGAAAACGAAACCCTTAGGAGAGCGCCGCAAAGCGGTGTGGCGTCAACAATTGATGGTATTCCTGGGTAATACCGGTGTCATGGGTGCTGGCATGGCTGTGGCCCTACCATCGGTTACCCTGGGCCAGCTAACCGATGAACAGGAGGAATTTTGTCTAACCCAGGAGGAGGCCAGTTGGTTTTGTATGTATCCGAAAAACTACTTCTTTTCCCAGGGACATTTGAAGGATGTGCAATATTGACGTGTGTGTTCATGTGTATGTGTGTGTTTGTCTATCTGTTTGTTTTATAGCCTCCATCAATACAATGGCATGTCCTTTGGGCGGTTTACTGGTCGGTCTACTAATGGATCGCATTGGCCGTAAAAATACGATACTAGTCACAGATATTTGCGGTGTCCTGGGTTGGGGTCTATTGGCCACAGCCTCATTGCACAACGAACGCTCAGCGATATTTATACAAATGTTAATTGGTCGTTTTATTTCAGGTGAGTAAAGTGAAAACCTTTTAAAAAAGCACAAAACAAAACAGCAATATTTAAAATGGTTTTTTATGACGTGAGTGTATGAGATCGAATGGTCAGATGCCAGAGCTGAACTATTTTATAACATTTGGAAATGCTAATGACCCACAACAACAACTAGTAATTTTTAAATATATGTATATATTTTTATGATCCATTTGCTGGAAAGAAAATTGTTGTGGTTATTTATTTCAGTAAACATTATGGGGGTGATCCCCATGGTGTTTATCCATTTATTAGCAGTGGGTTTTATGGATTTATCGACACTTGGTGTTGGTTAAAAAATTGAATTTTCACTATATGAGAAAGTGAGATATAATTCATGGCCAAGTATTTCAATAAAATTCCATAAAATGTTATTTTTTTAAAAAAGTTCTAAGCAATTATTTGTTGGACTAGTCCGCAAATAGAAACAATTGGAATATGGTTAATTTTTAATAGGCTAAGAACTAGATGTATTATTTGTGGGGGAAGTACTAAATGTAGACCGAAATCGGCAAAAAAATTGAATAGACGTTGGTTTGAGCAATGTCTATTTATCTTCGTTTGATCATTTTTCGAATTTCATACAAGATTTACGACAAACAAATAGTACTGACCACGCAGAATTGACTGTCCTACGTTTCTGAATCGGATCAATTGACATTACCAGTTATGTTGGACACATTGGCGACCATTTGCTTAGAAGTTCTAAGTTCTAGTCTAACAATACAGTTATCAAAAATATTCCCATTTGTAATTTTAACACACCAAAAGCATTGTCTAATACAATTTCAAACAAAAATGCTACCATAATCATTTTCCGTCTGATTACAAGTGAATTAATGTGCATTATTGAAATATCAATTAAAATTGTTCATGACAAAATTCGTTATTTGAAGAACTCAAAACTGGATTTATTGTGTGAATCAACTGAGTTGATAAAAAACAACAAAACTAGTTAGATTTGTGATAGGTTGGCGGGAACCTAATTTTGCAAAAAAAAAATGTGAGTAATTTGAGTTTTATTTAATTTGTATACCCTACACCACGCCGCATAGGTACACAAGACATACAAATATTTACATTAGAGGATATAAGCTTATCCGCTCCAATTGTAATAAAATTGAACAGAGCCTATAAACCCTTTTAAAATAGTTGAAAATCTCTTCAACAGAGAGGTCTATATTCCTTATTTAGAATGGAAACTTTAAAAGAAACTGAGACCCAAATATTTTTTACAAAAAAAAAAAAATTCTAATTCTTTAGTAAAATACCTCAGGTCTTAATGTTAATTTTTTTATTGAAAAAATCTTAACTGAGGTGAAATTATTTTCTAAAGAAAAATATAATTCAATAGAATTTTTTTATAAAATTTAAGCCCGAATTGCACCTTAAAAATTTAGCTCAGACGCTTGCCTTAGGAAATATTCATAAAAATATATCTTTTATCCGATTTTTTTGTTAAAAATTGACTCAGAAGCTGAGACACGATTTTTTGTTATACCAAAAATATTTACTTTTATAAAGCCTCAGTAGCTGGGAGCAATTTTTTCTATAGAAAAAATTGAGTCCCGAATTTTCCTATAAAAATTGTTTCAGAGGATAAGTCAAAAACGAAATATTCATAAATACAAGTGGTTTTTTATATAAAAAAAAATCTGTCTCTGAAAAAACTTCCCAGAAACTGTGACAGGATTTTTTTTATTAAAGAATATTATAAATATTATATATATTATATATAAGAATATTATTATAAAGCAAGGCCTCTGGATTTTTTCTGTAGAGAAAAATTGAAAAAAATCAATTTCCTCTTTTTTTTACAAAATTAGAAGCTGAGAACAATTTTTTGTAAAAAATATTCTCAGGGGAATCCGATTTTTTCTAAAAAAATCTTCAGAAACGTTGACTTTATTTTTAAAGAGAGAAATGAAGGAATCGGAGGTTGTAGAAGTTTAGTATAAAAAATTGGCCCATACATTAAGAATTTCAGCGCATTTATAGGATGATTGCACATTCTTTCATCTCGTCTATAGAGATTCTCCTCACCCAGTCTATAGAGACCCCCAGCAGCTCGTCTACAGAGACTCCCTTCACCTTTTCTATTCAGACTCCTTAAAGCCTGCCTTCAGCTCGTGCAGACACCTTTAGTCGGTATTTAAGAATTCCTTCAGTTCGTTGACATATGCCTTCAACACCCTAAGACCTCTAGTTTTACTCTATTGAACCAAAATCCCGCACGTAATATCTCATCAATAAATAATTATTTCCTTAATATCTTCAAACGGTTCCATGCCTTTCATATGTTTATCGTTATAGCTTCTTCCAGGAAAATAAAAATAAAATCAAAAGAATTTTTTACCATGGTTACTATTTTTATTTGTTTATTTATAAAATAAAACACAAAATTGACAAATAAAAGAACTAAAATACGAAACTTTATTGTTTACCATGTTTGGTATGGATTGGCACGAAAGAAATGAATCCAAACCCATAAAACCATTCTCTTTTCGGTCATGTAATCTATGAGCCACCGGAGCTGTAAATTGGACGATGGTATAAACCAAATAAAAGGAATGTTGTTTATTTGGACAGGACAGTCATAAAGTCGATGGAACCATAATAAATGACAATAACATATTAACAGTATAAATCATGGTACAATTATATAGGAGGTGATGCAAATGTGGTATACCCATTTGTTTTTAGATTGCCAAATTTTTATTTTTTATCCGATTAAATTGAAAATTTACACTTAACATGCTACATGTGTTGTCTTTCCATGTATCAATTTGAAAATAATATTATTCTAACAATTTAAGAGATATTTGAGAAAATATTTGAAATCCCATAAAAAGTGATTTTAAAAAAAGTGCAGGTAATGTGGTATACCACATGATGTTGATGTGGTATAGTATAATTTTCACTTCCAATTGATATCTTATATAATTTATTGTTTTTAATGAATGCGAATTAGCTCGAGATTTATGTCTGTTAAGATTTTTAACGGATACGTTGAGTGCAACTTTAATTTTTATTATATAATAATGTCTAAACATGGCAATATTTAATTTTTGTATGGAGAAGTTGTTAAAACTCATAGCCTTTGTTTTTCATCCTTGTGATTCATGGTAGACTCTCGTAGAGTACAAATGCTTCACATAGTAATGAGATTTTGTCTAGTGCTGGCCTTTTTTCATGCAGAACCAAGGTATACCACATTACCTACACTTGTGTTTACTGAAAAAATGTCCAGTTTTTTTCCAAATTGGCGATTATGTGGTGCAATTGCGCATATTATTTGATTTTTAGTTCATACTGATTATTTTAATGCTTTAGTAATAACGATTAAAGTACATCCGTAAAACAAAAAATTATTTTAAACTTCAACCGAAAAAAAGTCAATTTCATGAAAAATTTTATTTTTGGTACTGATTCTCAACGTGATTTAAATAAATTAAACAGGTCATTGCTATCTTATTTTTTTGAGAACAGCAAACTATAACATGTTTCAGTTATTCTAAAATGTTCAGTTTACAGAAAAAGTGACTATACCACATTACCAACCTATACCACATTTGCATCACTTCCACTAAAAGGTAACAGCAAATCCCAGCTGATTTGATTCCAACGTAATACTAGTGTCAATATGAATTTGAAAAATTATGTTTTTAAAAATCACCCAACTTTCCTGGGAACGCATAAAATTTGAAATTGTTCTTTATTAACACTAGATTGCCGAAGGCAGTCATTTTGACCGTTTTTCAATTTCAAGTACAAAAACAATTGTGTATATTATGACCCAGCTTTTTAAAATTTGGTGACTTTTTGTACCACATAGAACTACGTTTATTAATCACAGTAGCTGCTTCTTCCCCTCTTTCATTCCCCGTATTCACATGTGCTATACCTATATTGCCTAAAAGCGGTCATTTTGACCTTTTGTGAAATATTAAATAATCAAACTACTTTTATTATTGTATAAAGTAAATTTCTTATATGACCAGATCAGAACAACAACATCGAAACCCGTTTGCTACTCTAGAAACACAAACGAACATACAAATCGGGAAAAATAAATTTTATATTTCCAGTCGATTTCACTCTTAGAGTAAAGACTTCCTCTTTTTCGAACATTTTGTTCGCGCTCTTATTTTTCAAAAGGGGAAACTCGAGAGCCCTACCACCAAAAACAAATAATAACAACGTTTTGTGTGATTGTAAATAATGTAAAAAATATTAAAAATTAGTTAAAAAAAATTTCTTTACACAATAAAATTTTTTTTCAGAATGAGGTCATTTTGACCGATTTTAGGCAATATAGGTATATACAAAATTCCCGTCTTTCTAGTGTTAATGTGCTCCCGTATTCAATTTACTCAATCTGCCTGCTGGGAAAGTTTGAGGAAGCAACTCTTTCTTGAAGGAATTACTCGCTATTCCCAGCATTTTCATATGTGTTACACATATATATGGCAATGGCTCACTTATAGGAAAGATGTGGAAGCGATAGGAATATAATTTTGATAGATTTTCATTGATGTTTTTCAAATTTTATTTTGAGGATTCGAAAATATTTCATTTTCAAAATAAAAATAATTTGATGATAATCTGTTTGTTTGTTTACATTTTTCTGTCAAATGAGTTGACACTAGTAGAACTTACAACAACAAATTTCCATGTGGTTGTTGTATCCTTTTTTGTACAACAACACTTGCTGTTACCTTTTATTATTATACCATGAGTATAAATCAAAGTATAAATAATAATTGCTGCTAACAAACTGGATTCCGAAAAAAGTTTTTTAGTTTTTTTAATACATTTTCTAAAATTAGTCTTAATTTCAATATTGTTCTTATTATTTAATTCTATTTTGATACATTTAACTGGAAAACTTCAACAAAATTCGCATTTCCTTTCAAAACATCTATTTTAAAGATATCATCATCATATCAAGCCCCCTAAATGACACATATTTGTGTTTATTTATTTGAAGTTTAAATTCCCAGAATTTTGTGAAATTGTAGTACCTACTCCAGTGTTGTTACAATTTTTTTCTTGAAACAATGTTTGAAATAAAATATTTACTCAAAAACTTGGAATGAAGTGGTGGTGTAGGGTAACCGGCCAGTCATTAAGTATTGGCATGACAATTACTTGCAATTTTCATAACTCATTGCAAATAATAGCAAATAATAAATAGTTCTATAACAAATAATCTATCCGATAGTTAACGACACTCTTAACAAACGAAAAAAATTGCAGTAATGGAAAAATGTAAACAATGACGTTTGCGATGAGAGACAGAGACCTTGTTGACAAATGCTTTCATTTATCTACCAGCTGTTAGTGGCTAGCTAAACAATTGCTGTCATATTGCCCGGCATGTTTCGATAAATAACAAAATTATTGTTTGAAGTGAAGATTTGCAATGTTATTATTTGACAACCTGTAGTACTCTGTGCTAATTTTTTCTGACATGACATGCAAATTGACCGATAAGATTACGATAATAGGGAAATAACAATTAGATCTTCATGTTGGTCCAATAGTGATAGATAGGAGGTCAGACAAATGACAACAAAAAACAAAAACAATTTCATAGACGCCACTAATATCTGACAAGATATCTATGGAAAATTTTCGTAGAAGAAGAGTTCAAGGTCTTCTATCTGTAGAAGACTCTAGATGGGTTTCCTACCTCACAGTATTAAGACTTGGATATTGGCAGAGGCCTTGCAAAAAATAGATACAGACACGACTAAATAACAAAATTATATATCTTCCGTATATAACTTCGTCGGATTTCATGTATAGATTGAATTGTAGATATCATTCCTTGAATGTCTTCTATACGTAGCTGATACATTAGGGCCCTCTATCTTATGACTTATAAAAAGGTCCTCTATCCACAAAACGGCCTGTAAAAGATAATGGAACTATAGAAAGTCATACATCTTCATCATCAATTTGTGAAGACAAAAATTGAAACGAAAATAAGGAGACAGAATTACAATCGTCATCATTATTGGCACCAAACATGACTATCCTCCGGCTGTTCCTCGTTTTACCAAAAATTTACTCTGGGTTGTGTGTCCAGCAACTTTTAACGCAGTAAATAAGTCAAAGAAGACAAGAATTAAAGATATTATTGTCTTCTTGCAAGTTAGGCTTAAATAAAACTTCCAAATATATAATATTTTCATCAAATTTCTCGGGTGACCGAGTTGCATTTTTTATTCTTTTTTTCCTCTTGGGACATAGGTTTTTCATAAAGCTTTGCCTTTTTACTCGATTAGTCCATGTGTATGTTTCGTTATTGCTGTCCAGAAACAATGCCTCATTGAAAATATTTTTCCACAACTGTAAAAAGTATTCAATGCTTAAGAGACCTATGGAAACTCTTGTAACAATACAATTTCAATCAAAGACCCTCTGTGTACATAAGGCCCGGCAGACTTTCTGTCCGAATGATTCACAAAAGCCCTTCAGAAGCTATTATATATAAAGATAATGTAGAAAAGGATATTATCCTTATAAAAATATATGTATAAGTTCATCTAAAAAAGGCTTGTGAAGAATTTCTATTCCAAAAAAGACCTGTGTGAAATAGTTTTGTTGGAGGACTTATTTCTGTATATATAAGGTTTTATGTGCCCTGAAGAATTAAGTAAAATCTTCTATTCATAGAATATCTTCTGATCACGGAAGACCTCTGATCGCATATGTCTCAAAGGACTTCAATCCATAGAAAAATATATCTAGGAGACTTTTTAGCTGTATACCAAATGTCCTGCAGAAATATATCTTTAAAGGAAGGTACTCTATACATAAAATAAATATATAAAGTGATCTATAGAAGTTTGTGAACGATCTATACCCCATAGAGCCCCTGCGAAGACCGACATACGATTTTCTATATCCCGAAAAATTGTGGAAGGCCTTACATTCGCATCTGTAGAAGTTCTCCTTATTTTATTATTATATTATTATATACTCGATTAGCTCTTATGTTGGTTTCGTTAGTGTTTTATACCAGCTAAGTAGATGATTGGTCTGCTGTAGACTGTCCTAAGTAATAGGACTGACATCTATCGTGGCTTAGAAACAAAGTCTCCTTCAGTTTAGTGCAGTGGTTGATATCATTGCTCATTTTAGTGATGCATTTCTCATCTAGTTGGCTTTATCTCTTGTTATTTTATGTTATCCTCATGTGTTGATATTAATTTCGAGGTTGGTTATTAGAATGTCAGGGTATTTCATTTTAGAGTGGAATGTAAACCGCTTTTTACAAATATTTGTAATTACTTGGAAAAAATTTCCTCATCCCTTGTTAGGAATTGGATTCTTGTTCATAGCATCGATCAGACTAAGACTTAGGATAACACAAGACAGGAATGATAGAAGATAGCTTCATCCGGATGAAAATGGCAACAATATGTAAGCAAGGTTCACAACCTCTGCACAAAATTGAAGCAATCGTTGTTTCTAGGCAACAATATATGGTAGCATCAGCAGGTAGGACAGGCTACAGCAGACAAATAAAAAATAATGGGATAAAAAAATAATCGAATGAAATGGCGATGCTATGTAGAAGCCTAAAGTTTGAAAGCCCAAAGCTTCCAAGGGAGAAAAAACCCGGCCTTCGGCGTACTCCACCACTCAGTGTAGCTAAGAAGCGTAAGGTGCGTAGACAAACCAAAGTAGTTCAAAGCTTTTACCAAACTTTAGTCTGATCCAAGCATTGAACAAAAAATAAATTCTTAAGAGGCTCCATGAACTTATCACGACCACCTTCCAATTACTAAAGATTCGATTATCTTTACCTTTTCTAATTGATTTTCTTAGCTTATAAGTAACCTGAATGCCTAACGTATACACAAAAATGCATAGAAAATGAACAAATAAGGTTCCACGTGTCCGATATTCAATCAAAAAATATAAAAAATTAACTTTTTACAAAACCCACACAATACTATTTTTAATATTTCTTTATAAGTAACTTGTATGCCTACCGTATACACAAAAATGCATAGAAAATGAACAAATAAGGTTCCACTTGTCCGATATTCAATCAAAAAATATAAAAAATTAACTTTTTTCAAAACCCACACAATACTATAATATTTCTTTTTAAATACATTTTGTTTACTTGCTTCCAGGTATTATGATTGGTTTGTGCGTCTCTCCGGTCGGTGTTTATTCGGCTGAAATCAGTCTTCCCCGTATACGAGGACGTCTAATATTAGGCACTTCAATCGGTTTGGCAGCTGGCATACTATTTATGTATGTTCTCGGATATTTTATACGGGTAGGTATGAGGTGGCGCAAATAGCGGGAGAGTGAAAGTGATCTTGACTTTTAATTGATAATGTTGACTGATATAACAACAACTACAACAACACTTGTATTTTCCCATTTTATTCCACTTTCGATTCGAAAAAACTACTGAACGAACAGAATGATTGGCAGCTAATATCGATCATATCCACTGTACATCAAATAATCTCAACGTTGTGTGTTCTACCGATGCCGGAAACGCCAAGTTGGCTAATGCAAAATGGTTACACCGAAAAGGCCAGGCGATCGCTGAAATATTTCAGGGGCCTAAATAAAAATGGTGAGTCAGTCGAATGAAAATTGAAATTGTTTTATTGAATATGTAAATTTTATTTTTTGTTTCGTTTTTTGCACCCCCTAGATGTTTCATATTGTGAAGAATTTGAAAATGAATTGAATCAAATCAAACGAACCTCGGAACAAAGCCGTACCACGGCCCAAAGCGAATCTCTGTGGCAGGCTGTGAAAGCACCCGAAGTCTATAAACCTCTGCTGCTAATGATCGGCTTCTTTGCCTTTCAACAGTGTTCGGGTGTTGTGGTGGTCGTGGTATTTGCCGTTCAAATTGCCACCCGGGCTGGCGTAACCATTGATCCGGTGCTGTGCGCGGTAATGGTTGGTGTGGCCCGCATTATTACCACCTTCTTTATGAGCACAATTTTCGAGAAATGGGGCCGCAAACCGGCTGGTATTATTTCGGCTGGCGGTATGACGGTGTGTATGTTACTCTTGGCTGCCTCGGGCTGGTTTCCCGAACAGTTTGCCAAAGTGCCGCCAGTACCGGTCGTTTGCATCGTCCTACATATAGTCTTCTCCACAATGGGTCTGTTGACTCTGCCCTTCTTTATGATCTCTGAGGTGTTTCCGCAACGGGTACGAGGCAGTGCTTCGGGATTTTCCGTCAGCTTCGGTTTGATTATCTCATTTGCTGTCATTAAAATCTATCCCACCATGGAGGCGGGAATGGGTACGGCAAATGTATTTGCTTTCTATGGAGCAGTATCGGCGATAGCAGTGCCTTTTATATGTTTCCTGATACCGGAGACAAGGGGTCGTACTCTGCTTGAAATTGAGGAATATTTCAAGACGGGACGAATGCCAACGGCCAGTGAAGTAATAATCTTACGTAAGGCCAGCAGAGATCCAGTGAATGGAAATAATGGTGATGATGATGAGTGCAAAGAATCATTTCTCAAAAGCACCTAGAAGTGTCGAAATATATTCCGATGGACGAAGTATGTTCGATGCTTGATTAAGTACTTAATACGAATTTGGATTCCAAAGAGTTCATGCAACAACCGCAACAACAACAACAACCAACGAGAAACTGTAGTCTGTGATTTTTACAATTTGATTTTGTTCAAAACGCATTCATTACTATGTATCTATGTAATATATAAGTATGTATGTATGTATGTAGTGGTGATAAATGTTCGTACTTAAACACAAATACACACACAAACAAAGAAATGTATTATAATAATAATAATAAAGAGAAATAAATGTTTTTTAGTATTTAAGTAGAGATATGTGGCTAAATCTGCTTCTTTTTTTAACTGCGGACCGGACCCCTGGAAAATCGAACATCAGCGACTGATATTTTGAGCACCGATAATTATGACTTATAAAACTTCAACAAGACTAGTTAGAAGGAATGCATTAAAAAATCGACAACATTTTCAATGTCCGTAAGGTACTCTATTCATATAATCAATAATATCGGAGCAAGAGCAGAGTAGGTGCTGTACAAAGTCACTTTGAATAATTGTGATATCTGGCAGTGGATGAATCATGAATCCAATGTATGCCTCGAATCACAATTTACACGATGAACAAACTTTTTGCAGACAGGTTAAGTATTTTATTTTAGGCCATCGAAGGCGACTACAACATAGCTTTATTGAACCTCTGATATCTGCGATAAGTTAAAAATCATGAAAAAGTCCTCAAGTCTCTCGCCAGCAGAACTTGTGGGACCTACAAATAAATCTAGTTGATCTTTTATGAAACGATGGATCGATCTGGGTCAGTTATGCTGTGCCAGTGTGATCCATGACATGAAGACATATTCAAACTTGTCGGAACGCTGCTTTGTGAACTGGAACAGGTGGCTCCATCTACACGACGAGACGAAAATTCTTATGTCAGGGTAGCAAAATGTGTGTGTGTTTTAGATCAAAATGTATATCGATCATGTCTGAATAGTATACCAATTGATGCAGATTCGGATGCCATGAATGAATATGGAGTGGATTTCGGGTTCTAATTCAAGGGGATGAGGAAAAATTCTTTCAGTGTGGTTGTCGAATATTGGCAAAGAAGAGGCCGATAATCTCTCTAGTATCCGAAACCCCATGACAATGTAATGAACAACCCCAGCATCAAAATCAAAAAATGAAGATAAGACAAAATAGGAATGACAGGAGATAGCGTCATCCAGAGGAGAATGGTAACACTAACTAAGTAAGGACACCAACCACTGAACAGTAGAAGGAGTCTTTGTTTCTAGGAAACGATAGATGGCAGTATCATCATGCAGGAAATACCATATCAGATCAATAATATAATGTAATCCAGAAATATGAAGATGTTTTGTGAGAGTTCTATGCTTCCACGAGGAGGAACGGCAGAAAAAAACTTGCCATAATCGCAGCTAAAAAGTTTCAGGTACTTAGACAAACCAAAGTAGTTTCGGCTTAATTGCTATTAATGATAACGTACAGTTCATCAGCCCAGCATATAATACAGGCCAAGCCTAATAAACTCACTCTCAGATTAAAAATTGTCCGATGGGAATGTTCATCCAATGATCGCCAAAACTGTGTCTTATTCCGAAGTAAAATACATATTTTATTTCAAAAATAGTAAGAACTTTGAGGATGGAATAATCTGTATATAAGTATGGTTGTCCAAATTTGACATACCGTGAGGTTGAGGCATCTAAGGTCATTAAAAAGATTTGATCTCCAGCCCATTTTACTAGCAAAAATTTATGGGTAATACACCGCAGCTCCCAATGAAGTTTTGAGTTAACGATTTTCGACGCCAATAGATGTTGTTGTAATGTTCAAACATCATGTTTTTTTTGGAGGCATTTCATTCGGAGGGTAATCATCTTTGATCTTAAATTATTAGTATTATTCAAAATATTTTTTAAGAGTTCGGAAATATCTATTTCATATATTTTATCAATTTTGATTTATGTTATATATGGACCTCAATGCTTTTTTGTTCATCACATATGTATGAACATAGTTCCTCAACATACTAAAATACATTTAATAAATAAAAAACAATTAAATTAATAGCTTTCAGACAAGAGTCTTTTTTAAAAGAAATTAGAATGAATGGAGAATAAAAAAATTGATTTTTTATTGTTTTTATTAGTCATGTTTTTTAAAGATTTAAAATTGCGTACAAAATTGCAATTGAATTTTTCTTCCATAATACAGTTTATAGTGGTGAGGTTAAAAGGGGCCATATTATATGAGTAGTTCGGGTATCAATCTATTGTAAAGTGATTTCAAATAGAAAAACGAATAATTATTTCAAATGTGCACAGTGGAGTGAAGGAACTGGACAAAGACATTCAAATCTATGTCATTGGCATTTTCGTTGGAGATGAGGTCGGGTGATAGAATTGTTTTGTTTTCCTCTTTTTGCCCGATGATGATGACTACATCTTCTTGGTTTCTAAGTGCGTGGTGGCTGCCACCACAGTTGTTGTTGTTCCTGCTGCTGTTGTTGTCTTCTATTTGAAATTTGCATTTTTCTGCAATTCCTCGCCGCTGTGTGGAAACTGATAAGAATGGTCAACGGTTGTGTGGAAATGTTACTCTTCCACTTTCTGTGTCGGATGACTGATGTGCGGTGGCATTGAATTAATGCAAATATTTACACGCATTAATGATGCGATGAAATCATAGTGGTGTGTCAGTCGGAATGATATCTGCCGATGATGCTTGAGAGTCAAGTCAAACTATAACTGGTAAGTGATGTAACCTGTCAAATGAGGGGTTTCTTTGTGTTTTCTTTTCTATGATTACGTTGTTTGTTTTCTATGAATTGTTGAAATGTTGGTGGGATTTTTCAAGTTGATAGGAAGTTGTTGGGGGAAAACTATAACTGATATCAAACAACTGTATTTTTGGACTAAGTGAAATGAAATAATTGTAAGCTTAAGTGAAGGATACGGGTTATTGTGGAAAGTGAAAGGTTTTCATAGAAATTCAAATTGTATGGAAATTATAACAAACAAAATGCTACCTGGAAACATTAACATTTGATTTAACATAATCGATTAACATAATCGATTTATATAGAGTAGATATGACGATCGGACTACTATTTTGTGGCATTACCCATTCTTGGGACAAAGGGTATTTATATTTTCTAGGTTAGGTTAGGTTTTTTTGGATATACATGTGTTTTCTTGGATATACATGTGAACTTATCCATATAAATTGCAGTCCTCTTAATGCTTATCTCGATTTGATAGCTTATAAGCCATTAACCTCGTTGTTACAGTGTTTCCTAAATAGCAGACACTATATAAATTCTGGAACCCATACACAATGAGATTAAATGTCGAAAATTGATTCCTTAAAAAATGTTCACAAAATAAGCAGAATGACACTTGAATGGAATCCCGATGGATCACAAAGTCTAAGCCAATCAATAAACACCTTGACCAAGAACTAAGAAAACAATTAAAAATGTCAGTTGGTGTTGCCGACCCTCAACCTATGGATTGCGGAGGTCTTTGGAATTACACACAGGCTTTATTATTCGCTTTACATAAGAAATATATTTACAGACATATAAAATAGCGGTAGGTATCATAATGTTAGGACCGACGAGTCCAACCTTCAGATTTGATTTAAGCTTTGTAGAGATAGCAGCCTGTGTAAAGTGTGGTTCTAATCGGACATTCCATTCGCCGGTTATTAGATTTAAAAATAATGAACATTTTGACGTTTGTAAGCGTGGCATTAAAAGGAGGGGACCAATGGGTAACATTTTCGACTTGATCTAGGCTTGGTAAAGATAATGGGTTGTGCAAGGTGTGGTTCAAATCGGATAGTCCGTTCGCACGATATTATAAAATTAATTGTTTGCATAATGTTTACCATCTTCGAACTGGAAATAAGTTTGGAAGACAAATTACGACGTGTAACATTTAAAAATTTCACTCGGTTCCAATCATAAATATCGTTTGTAGAGCGGTAGTAAAGTATTTTGACAAGCTGATACCTCATCCTTGCAAGAAGAACTTTTTTATTATTATTATTATTTATTTCAAGAAAAAAAATACACAGAACAACGGATTAAAATTTCAAAACATACTTTCAAAAAACAAAGAATAAACAAAAAATTTCGCGACCTGTCCTTTGAATATAACTTATAGTAGTCAGATAGACGGATGGCGAAAGGACACACATATCCATCTATTTACAAAATATTGGGTCTAAGACACAGCATAGTACGATATCGTTAATATCAATATCGGTAAATACTATTTTCTTCATTAACATCAGATGCCAGCAATGCTCCACCAAATTGAGAATTTATCGACATAAATTTCCAATTTGAAATCACTCGGCGTTATATCGTCCCACCGAATAATTAGAGAAGATAATGGCGGTACTGTATACAGTCGATAATATATTGGTCTTTGTGCTCGCCACAGCCAATACACAAACCACCAGATGAATCAATGTAGATAATGCAGTTCATTGTCGGTAAGTCTGAAGTAATTAAACAAAATTACGTCGGTTATAAAGTTAATAAAATAATTTACCATCATATTCTCCACTGGAGAGTTGTGTCCATTAAACCATTGACATATTGTGGGAAGAACAAATTCAATGAATAAATTTATTGAACGGTAAGCGTCTGACAGATTCACATGGTTAATAATTTTGTGGAAAAATAATTAAAACGTATGAGAATAATTGTATCCTCATATAAGAGCAGATGACATATAAGAGAGTTTTCTATAATATGCGTTGTCTTAATTTGTTACATAAATAAGTTTGTATTAGAAAAAAAAATATTTTTTAAATCTGTATAATTGTTTTTTTTTTTTAATCCGTATAACTGTTGCTTTACACATTTATTTATTATTTTTTTTAAATATGTCAAATATTGTCCCTTGTTTCAGCAAGAACATCCTTTGCGTTGAACATCTGATGTTGAACATGTCA